GGGGGAGAAGGATAATCTGTGGAGGAAAGGCTTCAGTATGTGGGAAGGTGAAGATTATTGCACTTCTTCATTTGTGAAGCTTGAACTCTTGAGTTCTGCTGGAACACGTTTTTATCTGTAAAATCCCCAAACAAACAAATAAAAACCTGTTATGTTACATTGCTCACAAAGCATACCGATCTTGCATGTTTTCCAAAAAGACACGCTCAGTCCTAATTTCTACCAAGTAGTGCAAACATTTGGATTTTAAAGGGAATCGTTGGAGGCTCTCCCACAACATAAGACTGATGCTCCTCAGTGTTAAAAGCCGTGTGGCGTATCTGCAGTTCTCTGGAGCGACTGCAGCGGTGCTGCTGCTGCATAAATGCAGCCTCGGCTGTGATTTGCATTTCAGACGCAGTGAGGGTGAGATCACACAGCAGCTTGGAGTAGAGAGGGGATCGTTCAGGCTTTCGGCTCTCTGCTTTAAAGCGTCCAATTTCAGTTCAAGCACAGGAGATTCATGGCAAGACGCTGACAGGGGAACTGTGCCCCCCCCCCCCGCCAGCGTCACATCATACAGTCACCTGTGGATAAGATCTTCTGCTGGGCTTGTCTCCAGACAGTAATCACATAATCACATGGTGACTGGTACAAGCGTCTGCTTACAGCTGCTTAAAGCCATTGTTGATGTCCGTATGCCAAGTCTGCCAAGGCATGATAACTTTTTTTTTTAATAAGTTTGCCCATTTCTGAGGCCTAAACTAATTTGTCTAATTTTCAAAAGGCCGATCACCTGACTTCTTTATTTTACTACTGATAGAAACATTTTGCATGTTTTCTTCTTTCTCTTACTGTCAGAATGTGCTTCTATGTTAAGTTAACAAGTGTTCGCAAGAAAAAACATGACCAAACCACAGTTTTTATGTCTTTTACTTTCCTTGACATTTCGACTAATTAAACAAAGTCGTACTTTTCAGAGTCAGTTTCTTTATTGTCATTCCACCACATGTACCACATATGGTAGAATGAGATTATGTACACAGGGTCCCAGTTACATCCCACAGTGAAATGTAAAAGAAAAACAGTAATAAGATCTAAGATATGAACTAAGAAAAACATAAACTAAAAGTACACTAAGCACTAATAGCATAAAAACAATACGCCGAACAGCAGCACGAACACGAGTCTGTGTGAGCAGATGAGCACGAATGAAGACAGCAACATGAAACAGATCAGCAGCAACATGAAACAGATCAGCAGCAACATGTTGTGATTTTTCACAGTGATTCTGATTAGAGATTTATGAGTCTAACAGCTTCAGGGTAGAAGCTGTTCCTCAGTCTAGTACCTCCTTCCTGAGGGGAGTGGGGCAAAAAGTGTGTGTGCTGGGTGAGCGGGGTCCTTCATGATGCAGGTGGCCCTCTTCCTGCATCTAGAGGATGCATTTATTTTTCTTGCTAAGCACTTCTGGATAGATGCAAACTGCATTTCGTTGCTTTGTACCTGTGACATGTGCAATGACAATAAAGTTGAATTCTACTTACTTCTTTACTTCTTTGGGTGAAAACTGACAGTGGGACCTGTCAAAGTCCTCATTAAGATGACAAATGAATACTTATGGCTCTGTAAGGACATACTGTAAATCTAAACTGACAGAAATCTCAGCTGTATAATAAAAAAACATTGAGTACTGTGGCAAAGGACAGAAAGTTAAGTAAAAAACTCAGCTGGGCAATTTGTCGGTAATCTTTTTTTTATGTAATGTTTAGGTTTAACAGATGAAAAACAATCGAGTTGTAGCGACTGACAGCCGGACGATTTTTCAGAACTTCCATCAGCCTTTTGGGCCGTCCATGGTCCAAAAGGCTGATGGACTCCCTTTTAAATGGACACTTAAATCTGCTTTTATTGCTGAGAACAGACTAAAATGAACTTTCCAAACCCAAGAAAACAACAAATGTAGAACAAATCAAATAAATAAAATAATTTTTAATAAGAATGTAAGCTTAGTGCTTATGAGGCGTTTTATTGTTTTGGATTTACAATTTAAAACTCCCCACCAAAATGTGTCCTTTCTCCAAAATATTGTTTACGGAGAGTTAAATTCACATTCTTGTAGCCCACAAGTCATCTTGATTGTTTTGGTCCACATTTGAAAGCGTTTACACACCCCTGCCTTAGAACATGCCATTTACCAAACGTTTAGCAATTATAGAATACATTTTAAGGTGCCATGTTTACTTCTTTAAAAAAATACACATCTAATTTCCAGGTTTAAAGATCCTGCATATTTACAGTTTATATTTTTATTTTTTGTGTGCTTAAAGTTTGAAATTCTAAGTTAATTTTTGTTCTAAAATTCAAACCGGTGTTAAAACAGATTGTGAAATATCAACGTTTTAAAAAACACGATTCCAGTCCCGGCATGTGAACTGCACTTACTGCAGAGGGGGAGGCAGAGTAATTAAACTAAAACATATCTTCATTTTATTCTACATATTTCATGTTGGTTTCAATAAATCTCTTCAATTATATTTACTCTTCTTAAAACTAAAATAAAAATACGTTATTTTCCTGCTTGAGTCAGAAACTGAGAGTTATTTGTTTCGTTCCCCCCCTCCCGCCGCTGCTGGCAGTGGTACGGTCCGGAATGTGAAGCTGAACGGTCTCCCCCGCCTCCAGTTCACCGTAAACTCCCGCGCCCACTCCCCGAGAATCGAACGCATCTAGCGGCTCTAATCTGCCGTGTGGCACCGTGATGCCGGAGGAGAACCCGTGAAGCGCTGGGGGGTGGGGGAGCTCCCTAACCACCATGCTCCTGTCACAACAAGCAAAATGAAGGTCGGCTTTGTTTCGTCTACATGTGTCGTTACCTGCTGTAAACACGCAGAAGTCCGGTCCGCATGAGAGAGGGGCTCCTTCGCTGAGTCTCAGCCGTTATTTTGGCATTCTTTGACGGCGGACAAGAAGCAGCCAGACAGGGGGGGCTGAACCTTAGAGCCGCGGCCGCTTGACAGGTGCGGCCGCTGGGCTCCGTCGGAGAGATGCCGCCGGTCCAGAGGACCATGTCTGATCTTCGAACCCGGGCAGAAGGTACGTAGGAACGTTTGTGCTCGGTTTCATGGCTTTCAGGACGCACTTGAAGACCATGTCCACCGTTATGCGAAGATTCATTTGTATTATTTGCTCCAAGGCCGGCTGGCAGCTCCTGTGGGAGTCCAGAAACTCACCGGCCGTGATTGACTGTGAAAGTTTCAAAACAAGAGAGTCTTCAGGGACAATTACCAAAAGGTTCTGTCCGGCGATGTAAACCCAGTTTAACCCCAGAAGTGAAAGTAGAAACCCTTCACACTGACAGATAAACCGACATGTCCCAGCACCCCCCCACTCCTCCTGACTGGGACAGCCCTGTCAGTCCCATCATGTGATGATGCTCAGACTCAGCAGCTACACGTCTTGTCCTGTGGTTCTGTATCTGCAACAGTGTGGGTCTAATAAAGCAGATTTTATAGTTAGGCTGGGACTCCCACTATTTCACTGCACCACTGCATGTCCACTCCATCTCTGCTGGGTTTCAGGAAACCACAAAATAAGGGCCCATTTCTTTGGTTACTTTTCATCTCTAAATGATGCGTAATAAATTTGGTTGTGTTTTCTTAACCAAATTTAGCACCGATGACATGATGCAGTGTTATTCAGCCTTGGTGGCACAATGCGACGCGGTACATGTTTGATTCAACTCGTGGATTACAATACAGCAAAGTAAAGAAGTGTCGCTTATTCAGCTAAAATGACAGCTCCCAAACAAATCTTGTTGTTTTTAAATTGCACGACTCTTTCATAAAATGCAATCCACAATTGATGAATTATATCCAAACAATAAAACTTACTGCTTAAATAATAAACTTGCAAGCAGCTTATGTGTTTAGTACTTTTTTTTACTAACTCACCACTATATTTTTTACGCTGTAAAGAATAAAACACAAGTACAGTAGTCTCTCCACTATCGCGACGGTTCTGTTCCACACCACCACGATAGGTGAAAAACTGCGAAGTAGGAACACTATTTTAGTATATATATTTTAAGGCTTTATAAACTAGGGATGCACGATAGTGAATTTTTGGCTGATATCCGATATGTCGATATGTTAAAACTTATTTGACCGATAACCGATACCAGTACCGATATTTTTTTTCCCTATACTTACTTACAGAGAATACATAGCTTTCTCTGCTGTGGAATTAAAATACTATATTATTCTGCATGATCTTTGTCAGTTTGGCCTGCTACCAAATGCATATGTCAAAAAGGGGGCTGAAAATGTTGTAACACTATATAAATATAGATATTTAAAAAAAGTGCCTTTTATATCGGTGAGTTATTTTTGATGGAATGGCTAATGTTCGATATTTAACTTTATCGCTAATATCATCCGATACCGATACCATGCCGATAATATCGTGCATCCCTATTATAAACCCTTCCCACACTCTTGCAATGTTTTTAACAATGTTCTAAATTCTTAAACTATACGTAATTTTTAACAACATACATATATGTACTGTACAGTACTGCAAAATTTTATGAGTACTCACCAGCTCTGCAGACCAGCAGCTTGGTTCTGGTTGGGCCCGGTTCCAGTTCGGAACCGGACCTACCCTGCAGCATGACGAAGCCCACCGCCCCGTCCTGGTTGATGTGCGTGTGGATAAATGAGCTTGAGAATTATTTGTGACTTTGCTGCCATTTCTGTGAGCTAAATAGATAAGATCGTTACTTCTGACTTTGTGTTGCAAAACTTTCCCTCCGTTTCGGCAGAAAGAAGTGACTGGAAGCACTGTTGGCTTCTGGGTAGTGTAGTTCTTTTGACCGGTGTTACAGTATAGGCTTACTGAAAGAAAACTACAAAATTACAGCGCCTCTCCAAAGTTTTTTTTTTTCATTACTTTTTTATCCCATACCATCCCAATCATGTGAGTAAAATTAAAGTTGAGAATTGTGTGTCATGTGCAATCTTATGTTGAAAAACAGCGAAAGAGCAAGTCTGCGAAAGTCATACTGCAAAGTAGCGAGGGACTACTGTAAACCCTTTCCCCCCCTCCTTGAAATATTAGTTGATTCTCATTGCTTCTCAGTGTTTGTTGCTGTTCACATCAGCGCTGCGGCAGTTCTCCTGATATCTAGGTGTTGCTAAAGAGAAAGCAATACTACTAAACAGCACAAACTGCATTGAGGAGAATAGCTGTCTATTGTTAGACAGGAAATTAGTTCTTCTAACACAAACGTAACTTCACTTTGACTTTTGTCACTGTTTTACATTAGATGCCTGCATGTAGAAACAAACTTGCTTGCCGACTTTTAGTTTGTAAACGGATAGGATTTTATAAGTACAAAATTTTAATTAATAAATGCATTTGGATTCAATCTCAATGCGTCGTTGGTTCCTGCCTATATTCCTGATGCAGTGACATTGAACATATGAATCAGAGCAAATTATTTTATTGTCACGTCCCTACTGGACACGTCTCTGCTGGCTGCAGGTGCACTGTCTGAGTTTCCTTATTAAGTATTTTAATCACTCGGGTTCCTTTTTTTGGCTGATCTTAACCTCTGATCTCACAGAGCAGTGGCAGAATTTATCTGGTGCAATCAATATTATATCCCATGATTTATGATGCCTACTGCAGTTTGTATTTTTCTTCACAGTAAATGTAAAATACTGCTGTGGACTGATTTTTTGTTGTTGTTTTTGTTTTTTTTGTTTGCTTGGCCCAAGTTTGGTTTTTACCTAGTTAATACATAGTCTGACTTGGCTTTATTGTATTTTCAGTATATTCAGTAGAATATTTGGACACTAAAGCAAGTAGGCTCTTATCATTTGCCTCTCTTTTTTTTAGTATTTTCTTAGTTGCATAACGCAAAATGTTATGTTTAAGCTAACATTAACTTTATATGAATTGGGTACCACTTTCAATTGTTCACAGTAGTTTCATTTACAAGTGTTTTTGTGTTCAGTATGTTTTCCAAATAAGTATTTGTAAACTGTTCAAGTAAAAAAACTGCATAAAGAAATACCTTTTTTAGACTAATGAACCTTGATTTAAAAATACAATATTTGTATAAAATTGAAGGGCTGTTAGCAAGCTATTGAAGATATTAAAAATAAAAAAAATAACATATCCATATTGATTAGTAATCCACCATAACAGTTTTGTAAATGCCTCGGGTGGAGGAGTTTAAGTATCTGGGTGTCTTGTTCACGAGTGATGGTAGGATGGAGTGAGAGATAGGTGGACGAACTGGGGCCTCGGCATCGGTAATGAGGGCGTTGCTTCCGTTGGTCATGGTGAAGAAAGCATCGAGTCCAAAGGCAACGGTCTTGATTGTATGGTCTGTCTATGTTCCAACCCTCACCTCTGGTCATAAGGTTTGGATCCAAACTGAAACAATGAGATCCTGGATACAAGCGATTGACACGAGCTTCCTTCGTAGTGTGGCAGAGCTCAGCCTGAAAAATAGAGTGAGGAGTTCCGTCATCTGGGGGGAGATCCGAGTAGAGCCACTGCTCCTTTGCATCAACAAGGAGTGAGTTAAGGTGTTTCAGGCATCTGATTAGGATGCCTCCTGGACACCTCCCTTTGGAGGTTTTCCAGGCCTGTTCCACTGGAAAGCGGCCTTAGAGCAGACCCAGAACTCTTGAGGGATTGTGAATATTCTCTGGCCTGGGAATGCCTTGGGGTTCCCCAGGAGAAGCTGGAGAGTCACTGGGGAGATGGTTGTCTGAGTTTCTCTCCTGGACCTGTTGCCTCTCTGACCAAACTACAGAGAAGCAGTAGAAGATGGAGATGCTTTTATCATTATAAATGTGTTATATCTGTTAGCATCAAAACATTTTGGTTATTATCTGTAAAATAGTTTGTATACCTTTTAAATATCAGAAGTATATTTAAAATACAGAAAGAAACCATGTAAAAATGACTCTGATCACAGGGCTATTTCACTGCAGACAAGGAGAGCACCATTACATTGTTTTTTTAGAAGTTCTGCTCAGGAACATTTTTACAGAACAGCCGTCATGTACGGCAGTAGAAATGGAATGCAGCTTTTGTTATTAATAAACCTTTGCTTTTCCCATTCTTTCAAGTCAAAACATCTGCAGTAAAGTAGGTCAATTGGAGCATAGTACGGGCATCCTTTGAGTTATTTGAGGGTGTTCATAGTTGGTTTTCCCACAAACCACCCATACGTTCTGATATTAAATACTGATCAATAAAACTGTTATGATTCAGCCACGAATGACTAGTCTTTCTAGAGAATGGGCTCCATCCTCATCATTATACACTTTAAACCGAAACCTTCCGCACTTTCTAAACTGGTTACTTTACAAGCTCACCAAAGCTGCCAAGCAGAACAAGGACACCATAAAGTCTTTGGGTGCTGCCGAGATAGTTGACGTTTTAAACAGCTGCCAACGAGGCATGATGGTGGAGCGCCCCCTTCCACTGCAGCTGGGGGGAAACAGTTCTCTGCTAATTGGCAGCTCATAATAAGCTACATTTTCCCCAACATTCATTTATGTTATAGTTTTCAAGAGTCATGTATGCTATAAAAAAAAATCCTGTTTAGTTTCAGTGTGCATGTATGACTTAAAAAAGCAGAACCATGAGAGAAGTCTGTCTTGCCTGGTTATTTCAGTGAATGACTGAAAACAGCTGCGTAGAATAAATTCGTACATTACTTCTCTAACATATAATATACACATTGCATATTAGATGCACTACTTAAGACTGCTGTGATTTTTTTAAAGAACAGTTCAGTTTTTTGTTGTTTTGAGGGGATCACAGACTTATAGAACATACCCAACATATTTCTAAAAGTGGCTGGAGTTGGTGGTAGTTTTGCGACTGTATAACTCTGTCATCTTGTCAGCATACCTTAACAGCAATTGTGCTGCTATTCCAGAGATGGTCTTGAGCTCTGCGCTGGCAAAGGTCTAAATAATTTAATAGTAATATAGATTTTCTCTAAAATTGTTGACCGTGTGGCTGCTGCAGTCAGAAGACTGAGCGCATTAATTATGCAGCAGCTATTG